ATAACTGCATACTTCAATTGATCTACTAGTGACAACTACTTTGCACCCATTCTGCGCCTTCGGATCCGGAATTCCAACTTCCTTAAGAGAGAACTTTTCCCATACATCATCTAATATTAGCACAAATTTCACACTTCCCATTATATCCATTAGTGCCCCCGCTCTCATCATCACTTCATCATCATCTAGAAGTCTTTCGTCCATAGCACCAGCAATCTTCTTTTGTAATTCAAAAACATTGAGAGGATGTGATACAGTAACCCAAATGACTTTCTGAAATCTAGTCTCCCTCTGTAAATCATTGTGGAGATTCTTCATGATCGTAGTCTTTCCAACTCCACCAATCCCACAAACTCCGATCATTCCAACCTCATCACCCATCAAGTACCCCCAAATTTCTTCTTTAGTTGAAATTTGCCCCACTAAATTCTCTGTTGGAATTCTGTTTCCGCGAGCTGGAGCTCTCTCAATAACAAGGCCTTCAGGAAAGCTACCTTTTTCAAGCATCTTCCTCACCACATTGATTTTTCTACAAACAAGTTTGTCAAGACAGGCACGCTTGTACCACTTGATTCCCTGCACCTTTTCTAAAAATGCTTGTACATCAACATTAATGTCTTGTACTTGCTTAAGCCAGTCTTGCACTTCTCGTCTAACCATTTGTCCCCCGCGAGCCTCTGCTACTTCTATTCTTGATTCTATATCTTGCTTTCGGTTGGTTAGAGTGTCCAATTCTCTTCTCAGGTCACCCACATCATCATTAAAATTTCTATATTGATCTATACAGTTGCAGGTTGTAGTACCACAAACGCAATTCAATGCACTGAAGATTGCCCCAACTATCCCCGCCATTAATTGGTAATTTAAGGTCCTGAAACATAATAAATAATGTGAACAAAAAATACTTCTAGTGTTCGTCAACAGAAAATTCGAAAGCATAAATAAACAATAAAAAAAGAAGAAGTTAAACTAAATTGCCAATTCCAACCATATATAGGAGTTATAAAGCCATCCATTACGTACCAAAGGAAATGAGAAACAAACAACTATATATATTATATAAATGAATAAGCTATTTGAAATAATAATTTTATTCCTTTCTACGCCTTGTTTGGCGGCTATCCAATTAAATAAATATGCTAATTGCTTAAGTAATGAACAAGGTTGCAAACTTTCACTAAATTCATAATTGTCTCAAAGTTCTATTTTGCTCAAATAAAGTACCAAAGTAATTGAAATTCTCAAATAAAATCATAATTAGACAGAAATTTTTAGGGGTAACATTGTTAATTCTAAGTGGCTATTAACTAAATATCTATTTAGAGTTGTTAATAATTCAAAAGTTCAGTGATTATACTACTTGTGTCGTCAAACACATTTCTTTTGGAAACATGTCATCACTTTTATTATTCAGAACTATTGCTAATTAATTGAAAATTTTCGTTTTAAGTTGGGTTGGTATTCAGAATTAGCCAAAACTGCATATTTTAAAATTTGGCTAAACATTGAATAAGGTCTCATACTTTCACTAAATTCACAATTGAGATCCCAAAATTCTTTTGGCTTATGAAATGAGGTCCAAATTGGATGAAAATTATTATTTGTTAAATTGGTCATTAATGTCGTTAATTATTTTAATTGGTTAAATATCTAAAATCCTTTCTATTTTATCTTGTAATAACCTTAAAGGTTTCAATTACCTCAAAATGCTTCTTAAACTTATTTGTTTTGATGATGTGGCAATTTTGTAAGACCTATAACTAAAAATTAATTTTTTTATTTTAATTACGTGATATTTATGTGGCCTATTATAAAAAAGTTGCATTATTGTTTTTTAAAAGGAAAATGATTTTGAGACAATCTTTTCGTACCACCTTTTGATACAACCTGACATGTAATTTAAATGATTGGTTCTTTTCATTCATTTAGAACCCATAATATTGAATGCATCCACTCATTTAATAACATATGAAAATTGTATAAAAATATGATATAAAAATATTATCCTTATATCACTACCCTTTCTAGAATGGTACCAAACAAATTATATCAATTAGTTGAATTGGCAACCATAAAAAAATAGTCAAACCAAAAAGGAACAAAGGAAAAGTGGTATTATAGACAATTCACAAATTCATCACCATTTTTATAATAAATAAAATAAAAATTATGTTTCATCAAAAAAAAAAAAAAGATTAGGTTATTTAGGTATGTTAAGTATAGTTGTCGTACTTTTTTGTTTTGGTTTTCAAAATTTAAACAATTAAAATTAAAAATTAAAAACCAAAATTAAAAATTAAAATTAAACAACTTAGTGGGTAGCAAATTTAAAAATGAATATCCAAAACTCTAAACCTTTTTAATTTATAGAAATTCTTAATTTGATTTTAGGGTTTCTAAATTTTTTATTTTCAATAGTTGCAAAATTTTTAGAATCCAAAATTAAAAACTCAAAATCAAAACCAGTATGGTTATAGTTTTTGGTTTAACTAAATTAACTCAAATAACCAAAAATGTAGCTCAAATTAGAACTTGAGTAGGCAAATTTTGCAACTATTGAAAAATCTAAACTAAAAATAAAAAAACTAACAATTTATTTAAGACGTATTTTAATACTGACTACAAAAAACCATAAACTTATATAATAGTATTAAATTATTTTTGTTCTTACTTTAAATAATTTTGATAATATGTTATAAAAATACGTGAAAGTAATTATAGGTTTAATTTTTATTTAGAGTTGTAAAATTTATATAAATCAAAATAAAAAATAAAAAATATAACCATTAGATTTGTTAATGATTTGTTAATGAGTCGGTGAATTTGACACTAGCATTTTGATTATTCAAATAAAGCTGATTCATAAACATGCTGATAATGGACTCAAATAAAATTTGCTGAATATGGTTTTATCCAAATTAAACCAGAGCATAGCAAAAAAAACGGTTAATTTAGTTATTAATTGAATTATGCTCAAAGTAAGAGATAATATAAAAAGGTGGACTACAAGTTAATAGGTTAATGATTTTGTATTTAC